TCTTACAAAGGAGGACCACACTTGTTTGTTTTGCTATGGAAGCTAACGTTAGCTAATGTGCTAAAAAGTTAGCGTTGCAGAGAAATCCAATCTTCCTCTTAATCCCTCCCCAGTTTCTGATGAGGTGGACATGATAACCCTTAATACACATAACCTTATTCATCCCTACAACAGGAAATACTTTTTCCCTAACCTGATATGAAGTGTGCGCTGCACATGTGAGCATTTTTGATGATGGCCTCCGTCCAGTCATGTCATCGTGACGTCGGCACTAAAAGTGTCTGTTCAAATGTCTGAAGAGTCAAACTGTGTTTGTTCAGCAGGTCTCAGCTCTGAATCAGAGGTCAGGACCTGTTAACAGACTCGTTATCTGACCTGCTGTGTGTGTGTGTGTGTGTGTGTGTGTGTTTACTGCAGCTGCTCCTCCTCTCAGAAACTCTCTGATAAGTCAAACTGACCTGAACCTGATCCCCGAGTCTCCACACCCTGAACTCTCTTCTCTCACCGTTCTAACATGTGTAGTTTGATCTGTAATCACCTTTATTCTGATGATTACCTCTATGTCTCAGGACGTCGCCTGATTCCATCAGGATATTTTTGTTGTCATTCACTAAAACACAGAGTCAGATTCCTGATGAGTGAAAACCTGCTGGAAGTGACCCGGGTCCTTGGTCAGGTCGTCATTTGTATTGGTTCTCAGTTTCTGACGAGGTCAGATTAAAGCTGCAGTAGAAAGCCTGGAAACGGTTGATTTTTGAGTCTCATCTGAGTTAGGTTTCATTCGTCTCCGCCATGAGCCCCTCCTACCAGACGAGCACGCGAGTATTTTTTCCTACTTGGTTCTATTTCTCCCTCGCGGGCCTGCACATACACCCGAAACTCGTTCTCGCTCTCCGCGGAGAGCCCTCGGCTCCGCTCCCATGGCCGACCCTCGTGCCCTCCGGCCGGGCCCGGCCCCACCTCACCCTTCCCCTCCCTCCGGAGCTCCGGGGAACCGAGTTCTGTCTTCCTTTTTTTGGGTTATCCGTGTAGGCAGTTGTAGCCAATGCTGGAATAGCTATTTTACCTGGTGCACTGTTCGCCATTGCTGCTTGCTCTCCCATTCTGCTGGCGGCACGGGAACGCGCATATGCAGTAGAACAGCCAATAGGAACGCAATGGTCTGAGCTAACCTTTGAATGGATGATGCACATCGGCACAATACTGATTCTTTAGAGGCTGAACACAGAGCCATGGTGAGGTGCAGAAACCTATTGTTTGTCTCAGACCACTTGATTTACATTATGCTTAGAGGATATAATAAAACTTTACTCAATTATACCAAAACAATGTTGCCTACTGGAGCTTTAAGGTCAATATAAAAATTAAATGTCTAAACCTGCAGAGTCTGAGCCTGACTGAACCTGACTGAACCTGACTGAACCTGACTGAACCTCAGTCAGGTTCAGTCAGGTTCAGTCAGGTTCAGTCAGGATCAGTCAGGATCATTCAGGCTCAGTCAGGTTCAGTCAGGATCAGTCAGGTTCAGTCAGGTTCAGTCAGGATCAGTCAGGATCATTCAGGCTCAGTCAGGTTCAGTCAGGATCAGTCAGGATCATTCAGGCTCAGTCAGGTTCAGTCAGGCTCAGTCAGGCTCAGTCAGGATCAGTCAGGCTCAGTCAGGATCAGTCAGGCTCAGTTAGGTTCAGTCAGGCTCAGTCAGGTTCAGTCAGGCTCAGTCAGGATCAGTCAGGTTCAGTCAGGATCAGTCAGGCTCAGTCAGGTTCAGTCAGGATCAGTCAGGCTCAGTCAGGATCAGTCAGGCTCAGTCAGGATCAGTCAGGTTCAGTCAGGATCAGTCAGGTTCAGTCAGGATCAGTCAGGCTCAGTCAGGCTCAGTTAGTTTCAGTCAGGTTCAGTCAGGTTCAGTCAGGTTGACCTGCTGCAGTCAAACTTCAGCACTGCTCCCAGATTCAGAGATGAGTTCTTCAGAAGCTATGAGAGCAAAGTGAGAATTTTACATCTGTGAAAAAATGTATTTTTCAGTATCATTTTTTCAAAGTGTTTGTTGAGATAAAAACTGTCCTTTTTACTGCCTCCATTTACCTGAACTTCACATTCAAATTATTAATACGACACATGATTCATAATAAATGATGATGTGTGATGAGTTTATTGTTAGTTTTCCCTCCTGATGGTTTGATGTGTTTCAGGTGGGAGACAGAGACGACTCCAACCTTTACATCAGCACCAAACTGAAGGCTGCAGCCGAGGTGACGACCGCGCCTTTAGACTCTGTTTCTATTTGTTCACACGTTCATCTGTACAGTTTGCATACAGTCTCTTTCAAAATAAAAGCACTACGTCGGTACAACACCACCAACTGATGTTTTTTTCATCCAACAATACACACACACGTGGTTACGTTTAGCCGACACACACACGTGGTTACGTTTAGCCAACACACACACGCGTGTAAGAACAATAACAATGATAATATTAAAATAACAATAACAATAATAATAATAATAATAATAATAACATGTTCAGTTTGTGTTCTGCAGATTGGAATCGATGCGAAACACCTCAGGCTGCCGAATACGTCCACACAGGACGAGGTGAGTGCTGCACCTCCACCTCCAGCTCCATCACTGGAACAGATGGTGGCGCTGTACATCTCTGCAAACCATGGATATGTGACCTTTGTACATTATCACGTAGCTGTGGTCAACATGTGGTGATGTCTGAAACCACCTGGTTATGTTGGAGAAGATCATGTGTTTGTGGCAGTAAACTCAGCTGGTTTAGTTGTTAGTTGGAGTTGACCAGTTGTCTGCAGGTTGACAGGCGTCTCACCTGGTGTCTCACCCTCCACCCTCCCCTCCACCTCCTGATGAAGCTCAGATACTGCGTCACTTTAGAAACGCTGATATGATGCGTATGAAACGTACAAACATATCTGAGGTTTGCAGTGACGTACAGCGTGTCCTCTGATCACTTCCTGTCTCCCTCGCAGGTCCTGCAGAACATCCTGTCTGTCAACGACAACCTGTCCGTCCACGGTCTGATCGTCCAGCTTCCTCTGGACTCTGTGAACTCCATGGACACTGAACGCATCACCAACGCCGTCTCTCCAGAGAAAGACGTGGATGGGTGAGTCTCACAGGAAGTCCTCACGTGATTTGTTTATTAGTTTCATTCTAGTATTTTCCTGTGGCTTCATGTGTGTGTGTGTGTGTGTGTGTGTGTAGTCTGAGCTGTATTAACGCAGGGAAGTTGTCTCGAGGTGACCTGAACGACTGTTTCATCCCCTGTACACCCAACGGCTGCATGGAGCTCATCAGACAGACAGGTGTCTCTCACACACACGTACTACTGGCGCACCCTTAGCAGTCGCCATCTTTGTGATGTAGCAGACATCTTAACTTCTGACGTGGCGGCTGGAGACAACAAGGAGTCTGTTGGTCCGCCATGATGTCACCTCACTTGTGACTTCCTGTTCCCACGCAGGCATGTCTGTGGCGGGGAAACACGCGGTGGTGATTGGTCGCAGTAAGATTGTTGGAGCGCCGATGCACGACCTGCTGCTGTGGAACCACGCCACCGTGACCACCTGTCACTCCAAGACCCCCGACCTACCCGAACAGGTGACATCATTCTCTTAGACAGGTGACATCACTGACCTCAATGTTTCCTGTCTGAGTGATGATGCATTTCTTGTCTGACTGATGATGTGTTTCCTGTCTGACTGATGACATATTTCCTGTCTGATGCAGGTGGGCCGGGCTGACATCCTGGTGGTGGGGGCGGGGCGAGCGGAGATGGTGAGAGGAGAGTGGGTGAAGGAGGGCGCCGTGGTCATCGACTGTGGAATCAACCACGTACCAGGTACACAGCTACTTTACTACACACCTGCACACAGGTTCAGGTACTTTGACTTCACTGGGGTATTTCTACTTCCTGTTTGTCTCTCTGTCTCAGAGGTAAATGTTGAACGTGTCACTGCACCACGTTGATCAGACAGACTCATGTTACTGATACAAAATATAATCAATAATAAATGATGACGTATTTATTATCCTACATCTGATCTGAACATGAAGTAAACATGACCACTGTGACCTCTGACCTCTGAGTCGTCCTGTCTGACAGATGAGACGAAGGCGAGCGGTAAACGGGTCGTCGGAGACGTCCACTACGACTCAGCCTATCAGAGAGCAGGATTCATCACCCCTGTTCCAGGAGGGGTGGGGCCGATGACGGTGGCCATGCTCATGGAGGTGATTTCATTTCTCAGTTTAGTTTGTGTTGTTCTGTCGCAGCAGCAGCGCCGCCCCCAGACTCTAATGAGTCATGGCATCCTGCAGGTTCTTCCTGTTTCAGCAGTCTGATGTTCACAGCTGATTGGCCAAACTTTATCCAATCAAAACCCAGCGTTCTCTCAGAGTTCTTTGGTTCTTTAAAGATGAACTTTCCTTTTGAACATTTACATTTCAACAACATGATACAAACATAGAATATAAAATATATAATTAAAGAATCTGTTTCATGAACTGAAGCTTTGTGTTCTGATGATGTCATGGTAACTATAATGGTCCCATGTTTCAGAACACGGTGCAGAGCGCTCAGCGGTTCCTCCTGAAGAACCACAGGAGGTGAAACTCTGAAGGTAAAACTGATTAAAATCTGAGATCACAGAACTCATTTATCACGTCAAACGTCTTCACTTAACGACACAAATCTTCTTCTTCTGGTGTTTTTCTCTCTGACCTCATAAAGTTGAATCAGTTGGTGATGTCATCGTGTCGTCCTGTTGTGTTGTTGTTATTGAATCAGAGCGCCTGTCAGTCAGAGTTCAGGGTAACAATGTTCTCTGCAGCAGGATGAAGAGCAAACAGTCTTCGACCTTTAAACTCCACTGGCTATTCGGAGGACGTCGTCATGGAAACAGCAGCAGAGACATCCCATCTGTTTCCTGCTGACGTCAACAGGAAGTGATCAAACACCTGATCGATGTATCATCGAGTTTTTTTTTAATGTTTATGAGCTCTGTGTTTGTAAACAACCTGATGATCAATAAAGTTTCGGTTTCACCTGAACAAACGTCAAGATTTGATTTATATATTTATGTTTTTCTACTTGATGAGACGAAGAATCCAGATGTTGACAACAACAAACCAACAGATGTGTAAACAATAAGAACAATAAATCATGTGATCTGTGTTTTATAAAAATGTTTCAATGAATAATAAAGTTGGAGCTGATGTTTGTCACACTGTGTCGTATAAATAAAGTTTATTATCAAATCAAAGCCTCCTCTTCCTCATGTCTGAAGATAATCAGACGTTTGATTGACAGCTGTGTGATGTCATCAGAGCCTCAGTCATTAATTAAGTTGATTGACGAGTGTGACGGTCGCTTTAATTGGTTCCTGGAGTAACCGAACGACCGGCTGCAGCCTGACTCTGCTGTCACGTCTCATTTGTCTCCTCTCTGACGTCACCTGATCTGATCTGTTTCATTTCTCTTCTGATTGTTGACGATGAAAATGTTTTGATTGATAAACACTGACATCATGATTATTCAGATATATTTTCATCTTCTGCACTCTGCAGGTGACGTGATGCACTCAGACACTCGTCTGTTCTTTGTGATGAAGGAAATAATAAACCAACAGTTTTTCTGTATTCTGAGTTTAAATCTTCTCCTTTATTGTCTCCAACACGTCAGAGAGGAAGCTGAGAATCATCTTCATCACATTATTAATATATAAACATGTCACTGCAGATTTGTCTCCGTCATTTTACAGTTAAATAAACAGATGAAATAAACAGCAAAGTGAAGGAACGTGTCCTGATCATCCCTCAGAGCTGCACTTCTCCCTCTGGCCACCAGATGTCCTCACACTGTCCTCCTGTAGCCTCATGTCCTCACCTGCTCTCTGTCTGTCATCACCTGGGCTCCCCTCCCCCACCTCACACCTGTCCTCAGCCACCTCGTCACCCTCTGCAGTGTCACACCTGTCGCTGTTAGAGGATCGTCTGCTCGTGTTCCCTCCTTCATTCTCTGTTGTTCCTGCTGGATGTTCTTGTGTCACCGCCAGCTCCTGTCAGTCTGTCTCACTCTGTTAAAGTGTCCTTTCTGAATCCACCTGCACTCGTCGTCCTGCTTTACTCAACACAAAACTACGAACACAGATCACACTGTAAAGATTCAATAATTTAAATTAGTTATGAAATATGTTCATAAATAAATAAGTTAATCTAACTAAGCTTTGATTCATAAATTAAGGTGACCATATTTTGATTTCCAAAAAAGAGGACACTCGGCCAGCCATGACATAGCCTACTTAAATGATACTCGCAGTTTACTCAACGATGCCTTAGGCCTATAATTTTAATATATTTAAAATTTATATTTTAAATATAACGTATTTATAAATTTATATGTATGGATAGAAAATTCAGTTACAAAATAATATCTCTCAAAGACAGAAATTCAGATAGGCCCCTATAGATAGGGGACACATACACACACTAGAGTGTGGCGATCCGAGCCCGATTTTTGACCAAACCCGGCCCAAAATGTAGCTATAAATTGTATTCGGGCTCGGGTCAGATTCGGTCAGCTTTCAGTGAAAATGTAGTGTAAAAATAAATAAAATCCTATTGTCTGTCCTGTTTGTTGCTTGGGCACTGTTATTTACGTGATAACACCTGAACATGACACACACACACACACATTGGCTGTTTGTTTCTACCTCTCTCCTCGCCGGAAGTCTCGGATCTCCAGCCGCCCGCCTCCGCCTTGATTGATTGTCGGCTAAACGTAACCACGTGTGTGTGTGTTGGCCAAACATAACCATGTGTGTGTCGGCTAAACGTAACCACGTGTGTGCGTTGGCCAAACATAACCATGTGTGTGTTGGCTAAACATAACCACGTGTGTGCGTTGGCCAAACATAACCATGTGTGTGTTGGCTAAACGTAACCACGTGTGTGCGTTGGCCAAACATAACCATGTGTGTGTTGGCTAAACATAACCACGTGTGTGTGTGTGTGGGCTAAACGTAACCATGTGTGTGTTGGCTAAACGTAACCACGTGTGTGCGTTGGCTAAACGTAACCACGTGTGTGTGATGGCTAAACGTAACCACGTGTGTGTGATGGCTAAATGTAACCACGTGTGTGTGTGTGTGTGTGGGCTAAACGTAACCACGTGTGTGTGTTGGCTAATCGTAACCACGTGTGTGTGATGGCTAAACGTAACCACGTGTGTGTG